AGTGCTTTTGCTTTCTTTGTTGCTGTATCACAAATGATAACACCATTCAATCTTCCCGGCATATACATTTTATGGTCAGTATATTGAATGAAATCATGAGGATTAGATGAAAATGATGAAGGATATAATGAATTAAAATCAACACCAACGAAATGAGTCATGATGTTGGTGGTGTCCTCATTTGATACTGTTTTAGTTTCTGGACTATATGAAAGTTTATTAATGTGCGTGATTCCTTTAAGATTTACTCTATGTTGAACATTTGATAGACCACCAGTAATTCCATTACGGAGGATGTGATACGCTTCCACTGAATCTAAAGTCATTGGTAAATTATTTTTTAATGCATAATTTCTTAAATTGATTCTTAAACGTTGAACATCTTCATCTTTATTTGATTTTACGACATTGCAATAACAACACATTAACTGACAATTTTCTTTAGTATGTGGTTTTTCATTATCAATTCTATCCAATGTTGGTTTATTTGCATATGTAAACGCTTTACCACACATTTTACATTTAGATGAAAGGATTAAATCGTGAAAATATTGATAGTCATCCATTGAAACATTATTTTTGGTATCTCTTTTCGCCTTTTCATCTTGTTTCTTATATGATTCAATTTTATATTTCCAATACTTTTTCGTTAATTCAAAACTTGATTCTATCTCTTCCTCAGGATATGTTTCGTTAGGATTGAAGTTCTTATATGCTAACGCGTAACGAATCATTGATGCATTAGATGATAAAGAAAGATTATGAAGCATATCAATTTTATAAACAAATGTTTCTTCAATAATTTTATCAATTGGGTCAATCATAATTTCAACGTCTTTATTGCAATAATGAATAAAATATTCTAATCTATTCTCAAAATTTTTAGCATCATTGAGATATATTTGATAATCACTATCTGATATTGTTTCTTGTGTTAATGCTGAATAAAATGAATCTTGAGTGAATGGTTCCTTTTTATATAATTCATCTTCGTAATTCTCCCATGTGATGAATTGATATGGGAAAAAGGATTTAACACGTGTTTTATTGTTTCCGAAATCTTGAGTGAATTGGTCTAATGTCCCACCCGCTATATAATTTCTGATGTCAATAAATCTCAATTCATATGGAACGTTTGTTTTCTTTACAATGATTTGCTTAAATTGTGAAGAAGAACCCAGCATTGATTTTATCTTCCATTTTGCAGTATTTAAATCACGAAGAATTAAATTTAAATCAAACTTTCCCGAATTAAAACCTATGATATTCACTTTATTGAATTCCTCATCTAGAAGTTCTTTAAATGCTTCCTTCTGTTTCTCATTTAATGTATTCATTAATTCTTCATATTGTTCAATATTTGATTTAGCAACTAATGAACAGGTTGAAAATAAAAATTCAATCCAATCAGAGATGAACGAATCACTTGATGTTAAGCAAAAATTCCTTGTATATGTTTTATCGTTTAATTTAACCGTTGATGATACCATAAATGGTTTTAAGTAAGCGTTCAAAGTTGCACATTCAGAAAGTAGAAGTTCTTCTTTAGTCTCTAATGTTTCGAAGTCAAAAGTAATATAATATCTTGTTGGTTTATAATATTCCTGCAAATTATGTGCTAATAGCCACTGATATATCTTCTGTTTCGTGATATGTGGTGCATATGGTTGCTGTGTCTTTTGCAACTGAACGTCTTGAATTAATCTTCCATTATTTTCTTTACATTTCTCACAATGCTTTAAAAATCTTCTTTGGTTTTTCCTTTCTGGATCATCACGGATAGAATATACTTCTTCTTTGCAAAAGGAGCAAACTTTATATCCTGTGAGTGCTTCAACGTCTGTTATTCTGTCAGCGTGAAGTTTTCCACATGGACTCTGTGTTAATAAAATATTTACTGTTTCAAATTCTGGATCTATCATTATTGATTCCACTAATGGAAAGTCTACCTTATTTATGTCCACGTCTTCTGGTTGAGGGTCACAATAATAAAAATCAATATTAACGTTTAACATTCTTGCTAACCTCTCACTTTCTGATGAAATGTCAAATCCTTCATATGCATCTATTGCTTCATTTAAATAACTTCTACGAGTTTTAGGATTAACACCATCAGGAATGTTATAGAAGCGTTTAAATAACCTTCTACCTTCTGCTCTAATTTGATTATCATTCATTTTAGCTGTTCCATTTTTGTTCATTTATGTAAGAATAAAAATTAAAAAATAAAAATAAAGTTTATTTTTTTAAAGTCCGAGACTCAGAGAGTCCAGGGCTAAAGTCCGTAAAATGAATTAAGAACACATAAATTTTTATCATCTGCGACGTGACGAATACATTTTAATTTACTCAAGAATGCGTACCCTGATACATTAAATCTAATTCCTGTCTTATTTAATTTCACAACTTTGAAAAGGAATGTGTGAATAGCTATGAAATGATGACGAGATGATTTATGTGTTGCTTCCATTTTTTCTGAAATAAATGAATAAATATAATGTTTATAAGTTTTCATATCTTTTATGTTCTTAATAACGAATGGAATAGATCTTTCCACTTCGTCCTCCTTCGGAGCTGTTCTTTCATATGAAACATCAACGGTATCTTCAACAATGAAACCACAATCGCATAAAATTTTATATGTACCAATTGTTTCTTTTGATATTTTATCTAACAAATCAAAAACTTTATCAACACCTGTACATTTATTTAAATAATAATTTGTGTAAATATCATGGTCTTCTTTCTTAATCGTATTTGTTGCATATGTCACGTTTTTCAGTGCTTTTTTGAATTTTTCAGAATCAAGAGGAGGTGAAAGTAATATACATGGATAATCTCCATCGTCAATAAATTGTAACTTATGTTTATGAATAAATTTTGTGCCTTCTTCTGAAAGTGTTTCGTCAATATCACCATCTAATAAATTTTTAGTAGATTCCAAAAAGTAATTTTTATATCTTTCCTCATGTGATTTTTGAACTTCTGATTCTGAAGCTGGGATATTCATTAAATCCTCTACTTCATTTTCAGCATTTCTTAATTCTTTAATTCTTTCATCTATTTCATTTCTTAATTGTTCCAATTTCTCAATCTCATCGTTATAATATTCATCTTGTTTAATTTTTTCTTCAAAATATTCAGGAGGTGTTTCAAGGCTCTCTGAGCCCAGGTCCTCTGGACCATAAAGAGGAATATTCTCCTGTTTTTCAACTTTTTTGGGATATAAATATCTCATTATAGCCTTTTTAGTAATTGGTCCGTTATATTTAAATTCATTCAACAATCTGGAAAACTCTTTCACATTCTGCATATATGTTGGATAAGAACCGTCTCCAAAATTTTCTAAAATATTTTCTAATTCTGAATTAGTGAACTTTAAAGATTTCAATGAATTAGTTGTTATACTCATTTATTATAAAATAAAAGATAAAAAATATTTTTGATTAATAAGGAATTAATTTCATTTTATGTCTTATAATGTGCGCATATGTATTTAAAAGGCATTCATTGAATTGCTTTTCAATCTCTTTCTTTTTTTCATCTTCGAATATTATATCATTTTCATATATCAAATTATGATATCGGTCATATTCTTTTAAGTGATAAATAAATACAAAATTTACGGTTCCTTTAATTTTAAATTCAAAATTAATTTTACAACAGCTTTGTGGATCAATTAGTAAATCAATCAAATAATGTTCAAAATCAGATATTATTCTTTTTCCATACATTTTATATTAAATAAAAAATTGACACCATATTTGGAATCTATGCAAAAATATATTTTTTAATTAATGATAATATAGGAATTGTAGGAATAAAAACTTTTTATAAATTATTCATAAATTTTTAAAATCTGCTATTCAGAAGTATGTTCAAAAATCATTCAATTATGTGAGATTCTTACGATTACAAAAAAGGTCACACAACCCGCACTCATATACTACTAGGCTAGTAGTCTTGTATGCTAGTTGTTTCGGGATAATTCATGTAGGGAACTATCTTAGAATAAAATGAAGTTTATGGTGCTTTGAAGCATTTCCTTATAGCACCAAATTTAAACTTCAAAATTACAAATAATCAGATATTTGCATTTGATTCAAGGCAATATTCATCTTTTAAACGATTAAACTCCTTCAACATATGCATATTACGACAAAAAATTATAACTCATCGTTATTCTTTCAAATTTGCAAATAATGCTTTATTTTTTAGTCATAACAATCGAGTTCATAAATTACGAACGCTAAAAAGCTTATACTCAAATAGGCAAGGACTAGCTTGCTTATAACTACCAAATTATCGATTTTGAATTTTTTTTTTCGATCTATAATATATATCTAAGATCTTTACTATTACAGTTGTTATGGGGAATGTAAAAACTTCTATTTAAGGAAGACTTTATTTTACAAGAAGATTTATTTTTTTTATTCTTTATTGTTTTCTTTATTTATTAGACTAAACATTATTTGTTTATTAGATTTTAGAAGTTTTTGTTATATTTTTAAGGATGAAAACACAACCTATAACAACTCTAAGTTATCTATTGGAACGAATGCGGGCTCCTCAAAAATAAATATCGAAACTTAAGTGTATAGTACGTAAAAAGTTGTCACCATAAGAATTCTTTCGTAAATAAACAAAAAAAATTTCTGAATATTTAAAAATTAAGCCTATAAGAAGCTTTAAGTATCATTTTATGCTAAATTGCAATGGTTCTATTTGAGTGGAAAAACAATAGGAAATCCGGGCATATCCGAAATCTTTATGGTCATTGTTTTCTACATGTATAACATAGTATTTTTTTTCTTCTAATGAATTTAAGGGGTAAGGCTATAGTAAATATGTCTTTTATAAAAATTTTTAATGTCCAACCATAACGTTAATCCAAACGAATACAACAAACTACGAAGTATTTACAAATACTATATCGATTCATATCTTGCGTTGTATCAGCTGAAAACGGAAAAAGAAGAAGAATAAAGTCAATTTACAAAATGATCAAAACAGAATTGATTGATTCAAAGAATTACCTCCCCACAAATGCTATTAAAGACATTTTAGATATCATTCCGTATAATAATCGCTATACAAAGTCATATTTATTTCTTGCCAAACTCATTTCTGATGATTACCATGTCACAGAGGTCAGAAGTATTGAACCTATTTCAAACTTACTGTTTTATAAAGAATATGGGATTAAATTAGACAAATCTGCCGATTTTAAAGAAGTTAATTCCGAAAAACTCGAAATTCATACAGAAAATACAATTTACAGAGCAATTATGTATAATGACTTAGAAACATTCGTTGCATTCACTGAAAGAGATGGATTTGATAAAAATCAAGTACTTAAATGCGATTTATACCCATCTCCTTACAAAAGATATTCATTACTTGAATTATGTTGTTACCATGGAGCTGTTGATTGTTTCAAGTTTTTAAGAACAAAATTCAGCTCAGAAATAACTGAAAAATGTCTAGAATTTTCATTTTTAGGAAGAAACAATGAGATCATGAGTGAATGTTTGAAATATCAAAAACCAAATTATAAATGCATGGAATATGCAATTATTTCACACAACATTGATTTTGTTACATTCTTGATGAATGAATACAATTTAGAGATCGATTTAATTGATTGCGGAAATTACAAAAATATTGAATCATTTTTAGTTTATTTCGATCAAACTAATGATATAAAAAAATGTTTCATTTATTCAGTGATTTTAAATATTCTATCCTTTTTGGAATACTTCCTTTCACTTGGTGCGAATATCAATGAAAAAGTTGAACAAGGAAGAACCGCACTTCATTATGCAGCAATGAAAAATAAAAAAGAAACTGCTGAAGTTCTTATTTTACATGGTGCGAACATCAATGAAAAAGATGAATATGGACAAACAGCACTTCATTATGCAGCAATGAAAAATAAAAAAGAAACTGCTGAATTTCTTATTTTACATGGTGCGAATATCAATGAAAAAGATAAACATGGACAAACAGCACTTCATATTGCAGCAGAATATAATAGTAAAGAAACTGCTGAGTTTCTTATTTCACTTGGTGCGAATATCAATGAAAAAGATGAACATGGAAGAAACGCACTTCATCATGCAGCAATGAATAATAAAAAAGAAACTGCTGAATTTCTTATTTCACTTGGTGCAAACATCAATGAAAAAGATGAATATGGAAAAACCGCACTTCATTATGCAGCACGGAATAATAATAAAGAAACTGCTGAATTTCTTATTTCACTTGGTGCGAACATCAATGAAAAAGATGAACATGGAAGAACCGCACTTTACTTTGCAGCATGGAATAATAGTAAAGAAACTGCTGAAGTTCTTATTTTACATGGTGCAAATGTCAATGAAAAAGCTGAATATGGACAAACAGCACTTCATATTGCAGCAGAATATAATAAAAAAGAAACTGCTGAATTTCTTATTTTACATGGTGCGAATATCAATGAAAAAAATGATTATGGCGATACAGCACTTCATTATGCAGCAGAATTTAATAATAATGAAACTGCTGAATTTCTTATTTTACATGGTGCGAATATCAATGAAAAAAATGATGATGGCAAAACAGCACTTCGTATTGCAATGGATTATAATAAAGAAGAAACTGCTGAAGTTCTTATTTTACATGGTGCCAAAGAATAATGTTCTTACATAAAATATTCTTTAGTTTTCTGGTATTTTCGAAGAACATTTTCATTAGAGAGTAAATTGAATGTAAAATAATCGTTATTGCGCATTTTTTGCACTTGAGTTTGTTAGATATGATGAGTTGCACATGAATTCACTGGATAAAGTCTTCCAAAAATGCACAACATGCCTAGGAAGAGATTCAATCTGGATAGTATTACTCCAACGAAATACAAAATATTGAACAAAAAAATCGTCTGAAAGTCGACATTTCATAAATTTTGTTGAGCTTCAGACAAAATAAACGTAAAATACAAGCATATTCAATGGAATATCATTGAAATGTTCAATTCTCTTGAAGAAAAAGGAAATTAATTTTCTGAATATTATACTTGATTGTCTGTGGAGGATCAATTATTTGTCATGCTGTAATAAACAGAAATTCATCAAAAGTGACAGCTCTCAATTTTTTGACATTTGTAAATTCTAAATTGAATGAGAAAAATGAAATAATACTAAGCATAATACAATATTCTAGATTTAATTATAATTAGGAAAAAGTTAGTTTTGAGAGTACTTTTCATAGGCATATAGAATGAAATCTTCTGAAAAATAATATCACATAAACTCATATTATTTTCTAATATATAACTATTTTATATAAAAATCAAATTCAATGATCTTAAAAGCGAATGATAAACCTCAAAATTTACGAATATAATGAGTGGTAATATAATGCTTATCTATCATAAAACCATATGAAATATCAATTTTTGCTTTACGCCTAATTTTTGGCGACAATTAGCAAAAAATGTTAAATGTTAACACTCAGTCCATTTGAATATGAAAAATAAAATTGACTTTGATTAAATGTTTTTATTTATCATGCAATTCTTCTTGCGACCAAAGATTTGAATAAAAGTTCAAAAAATAAGATAGCTTAAAAAATAATATACGGTAGTGTTTACTAATAGATGAATAGTATATAAATTCTATTAAAATGGATTTGATCCAAAAAAATATATAAAATTTGATCATAAATAAAATCGTTTTATATTACTTCTTCATTTAAATTATAACAATTTATATAACTGCTTTTAAGATCATTGAATTTGATTTTTATATAAAATAGTTATATATTAGAAAATAATATGAGTTTATGTGATATTATTTTTCAGAAGATTTTGTGTTCTTCTTCAAAATTTTATTTTTTATTAAAAAGAATCTTTACAAAATATACATTTACTTTAATTAATATTTAAAAGCGTTCTCTATCAAAAGTTCCAAAAATTCAATATTTTAGCTTTTCTGAGGTGTTACTTTTGATGAATTTCTGTTTACAACAATGCTCTATTGTATTATCAAAAATATATATAAAAAATTATATAAACATTGATAGATTGTTTTTACAAAATATGAATTGTGGGAACTACGATTATTTTTGATTCAAATGTAAATTTACATTAGAAGTAAAAATAATCATTGTTCACACAATCCAAATTTTATGAAATTTTCGGGTGCCTAACAAATATCATCCAGAGATGCTATTTTTATAAAAAATATATTATTATCATATTTCTGATTTGTTGAAAAAGCAAAGATAATCAATAAGCATCATACAAACTATATTTGCAAAATCAAGTGTGTTGATGCAACTAAATGGTTAAAAAATTAATATAATAAACGTTTACAAACAATGATATTATAATATCTTCTTATATAGGTAGTTATAGAGATCTTTTCTGCATTCCTCTGGAATTTTTTCAAAAGGGATGGATACTTTATTGGATTGCAATATATTTATATTGTATTTAGCAAAAATCTTGATGACATCTTCGTACTGAGCTATATCTGATAATCTTTCAATTAAATTCTGTATAAAATACGGTTTATCGCAATAGTCTTGAGTTACTTCTTCTGTGTTTTCACTCGAAGTTGAGGATTTGTATGAACAAACGCTTAATATTTGTTCGATTTCGTTCAAACGATGCAATTGTTTTCCTAATACTATATCAATTGAATCTTTTGTAGAATGAGGTGCTTTTTGGATTTTTCTTTCGAACCAACGAAGTAAGGTGCTTATTATCAGTAATTTATCAGTATCTTTTTCTACAGATTCTTTGTGTAGCATAAATAGATATCTTACATCAAGAACAAAGTCATAAAATCCGATATATTGTTTGTTTGAAATTTTATTTGAGATGTCTTCGACTTTTAGGGGGATATTTGATGAAACTTCGTTTTCTTCAAGTATCGAAAATGTCGGTTTCGCCTTTAATTTAGTAAAGAGGGAAGCAATGAACTCCCTTTCTATTTCATTCATTAAAACGAAATGAAAAATGGATAGAACCAAGTAGTTACTTGCATCTAGGTACTTATTGAATGACTCCAATTAGCATATATTATACAATTCTCCAATATATTTATTTCATATTTGAGTATTCAAAAGAAGAAGCTTAGCTATTCATCTGCTTTAGGTTTGCCTATATAAACATTGAGAAATAATGAGTAATTTCTTTTGAAACGCCAAATTAGAATATTATTTGAGAATTAAAAGAACCTATTGAGTATTTAGATCTCCGTATAGGATTTGAATCATTACAACCTGTAAAATCTATTCTTTCAAATATTTTTGTCTGATGGTCGAAGCAATTGAACATTTATTTGCTGATTCTTTATATTTTAGTGCATTTAGAACAAGCTAAGTGTTTCTTTCCATTCAAGATTTTTACGGACTATCATCCAAATTTGTAAAAACCGTTGCACAATTGAGAGACTATAAAAACGTATTTTATTCAATACTATTTTTTTGATAAATGTCTGATAAAGAAGACGTTGAGATAGATCAGGGATCAGAATCTGGAGAAGAAAAGAAGAAGGAGAAGAAGGAGAAAAAGGAGAAGAAAGAGAAGAAAGAAAAGGAAGAAAAAGAAGATAAAGATGAAAAGAAGGAGAAGAAGGAAAAGAAGGAAAAGAAAGACAAAGATGACGATGATGATGAAAAGAAGGATAAGAAAGAAAAGAAAGAGAAGAAAGATAAAGATGACGATGATGAAAAGAAAGAAAAGAAGGAGAAAAAGGATAAGGACGACGATGATGAAAAGAAGGAGAAAAAGGAAAAGAAGGATAAGAAAGATAAAGACGATGAAGATGATAAGAAGAAAGATAAGAAGGATAAAAAAGATAAGGACGAAAAAGATAAGAAGGATAAGAAAGATAAAGATGACAAAAAAGATAAAAAGGACAAAAAAGATAAAGATGATAAGAAAGATAAAAAGGACAAGGAAGATCAGAAGGCAAGTGACAGAGATGTTAAAGATAAAACAACTAATGAGGAAGCAAAGAAACAATCAAAATGCTGCCGAATTCAATAACTTTTTTACGAACAAGAAATTGGTTCAATTATATATACTTATTTACTCTTGGTAGATATTCCATGAATGTTATTGATACAATATCAAATTTTTCAAATAAAAAGGGAAAATTTTCATATTTGATAATTTTTCTAAGTTTATATAGAATTTTTGATTCAGAAAGGAATAGAACTCTAGTTATTGTAAAGCTTTTTATCTTACATAAGTTATAGAGCGAGATGGAAATTTCGATTATTGATTGTATGGGAAGAGTTTTTAAATCCCATCAATTAATAAAGTCACTGCTGTTAATAAGGCACAAAAGAATGATTTTTCCATGAATTCAAGAAACAAATATTGTATTTGGAAATGATCTCCATATTATTGTATAAAGGAAGGAAAATGAGTCTAAAGTGTTCTGGTAAAAGCTATATCTGAAACAACTTTTCGAAAGGAAGCTACTTTTTATTTTTTATTCTTTATAGATTGAAAATGTCTCATGATCTACAATTACCGAAGGTGTCTAGAAGCTCTATAGTATTATTCATATGGTAAGCCCTCTAATTCTGGTGTAGCCAATCAAGCCTATTGAACCGTAACGGGCTTACATTTGGAAATTAAAAAAACAATTAATTATAATCGGGCTAACGAAAGCGAAACACAACAGTTTATTAGGAAGCATGACTAATAATATTCATTGATCTGCGATATACTAAAATTGCAAAAATGGTAACTACATCCGATATTAACTCTATATAAATATGTTATTCACCGTTCTCGCTAAGTATAAATCCAAATTATTGAAAATAATTTGAATTTTTAATAACCGGGGTATTGCATAGCCCTAGTAAGCTGTTCTCTAAACATTGGTGATTGCGATTAAACTTGATTTTGCAAAATTACCTTGGGTACCTATAAAAAAATTAAATAGTGAGTTCTCTTTCTCAAAATTTTTTTATAAAAATTTGCAATAAAAAGTAATCAGTGTCATTAGTTACTTTTCCCACAGTAGGTAAATATTCTTCTCTAAGACGGCAAAATATTCTGTTAGTGATTGATCACTTTGCTTTCAATTTTTCAAAAGGTATCGAAATTATTCATTCAGAGCTTTTCACCTCATTTTTTTAAATGTCAGTTGTAAATTACAAGCCATTGAAGAACCAGCGCATTGCTTTTGTGATCTTTGGTGCATCCGGTGATCTCTCATTGCGTATGCTTATTCCTTCTCTCGAAACAATCTCTTGCTACGACCCATTTAACGATGATACACAGCTTATCGGTGTTGCTCGTACAGAATTCAAGGGTAACGAGCTTAAGGAGAAGATTATCAAGGCAATCAAGCAGTATGCACGTCTTGGACAGGGCAGTACTGATGCAGATGCTGCATGCGAAGTCCCAGCATGCTTCTTAAGACGTCTTAAATATATTGCTGGTGATTACTCAGACCCACAGACATATGCCAAGCTTAACGAAACACTTGATCAAGGCAAATTCGAAGGTGTTTTGATTTATTTCGCTACACCACCAACACTGATCCGTCCAATCACAGAAAACCTTGTAAAGGCTAACTTGAACACTACCGATGACCGCTGGGTTAGAATTATTATCGAAAAGCCATTTGGTTGGTCATTCGATTCCGCTGTTGACCTCAACAAGGTTCTCCACAACAAGTTCAGCGAAGACGACATCTATCGTATCGATCACTATCTCGCTAAAGAGACAGTTATGAACATTTTCACATTCCGATGGGGTAACACAATCTGGGAGCCTCTTTGGAATAGAAACTATATCTCCCACGTCGAAATCCTTGTCGCTGAAGCTGTCGACGTCGGAAACAGAATCGGATATTATGAAGGTTCATCTGTTCTTAGAGATATGATTCAGAACCACCTTCTCCAGATGCTTGCCATTGTTGCTATGGAGCCTCCATCCGAAATGAACGCCAAGGCAATCAGAGATGAGAAGTTGAAAGTTCTCAGATCAATTCGCCCACTTGAAAAGGACGATTACATGCTTGGCCAATATCTTGGCTACAAGGAGCACAAGGGTGTCGAACCAGACTCAACAACACCAACATTCGCTTACATCAGATTCTTCATCGACAACTGGAGATGGCAGGGTGTTCCATTCTACATCTGCTCAGGCAAGGCTCTCCAGCAGAAGAAGTCTACAATCAAATTAGTCTTCCGCGACATTCCACACGCTTTATTCGGCGATTCTACAATCAACAAGCCAAACGTCCTCGAGATCAAGGTCCAGCCAGAAGAAGGCATTATCCTCAACCAGCACGTCAAAGTACCAGGAATTGGTCTTAAGACAGATTCAATTCCATTATCCTTCTACTACAAGCAGAAGTTCGGCGAGAACGCCTTACAGGGTGCTTACGAGCGAGTTATCCTCGATGCCATCCACGGCGATCAGTCCTTCTTCCCACGTTCCGATGAAATCGAAGAATGCTGGAAGATTGTCGACAGAATCCTCAGACCAAGATACGATACAATCATTCCATACGCACAGAAGATGGATGTCAGCTTCGGCACCATCAAGCGCTGCAAGAAGAACAAGGGACAGCGTGTCACATTCAAGAACGCATCAGAACTTGTTCAGACAGTCACAGAACAGATCACACGTATCATCTCAGAGACAATTGAACGCAAGGGTGCCTGCAACATCGCATTCTCAGGCGGTCAGTCACCAAAGCCAATCTATTCCTTACTTACAACAGCACCATTTGCATCCAGAATCGACTTCAGCAAGGTCCACATCTGGTTTGTTGATGAGCGCTGCGTTCCTCCGGACCACGAGCAGTCTAACTATAAGATGCTCAATGAGAACATGTTCAAGTTCCTTAAGATTCCAGAGGAGAACATCCACAGAATGCGCGGTGAAATCGATGCAACAAAGGCTGCAAAGGAATACGAGGAAGAGCTCAAGAAGCACTTCGGAACAGAAGATCCAGTCTTCGACCTCATTACACTCGGAATGGGTCCAGAAGGACACACTGCTTCATTGTTCCCAGGCACACCTGCTGTCGGTGATACAAAGTCACTCGTAATCGGACACTTCGTTCCACATGTAAAGATGTTCAGAGTAACTCTCGGAAGAAGAGTTATCAACAACGCTGACAATGTTATGTTTATTATCACTGATCCAGCAAGAAAGAACATCATCGACCTCGTCTTCAACGCTCCTTACGTCCCAGCTGTCATTCCAGCTCAGGGAATCAAGCCAAAGCATGGCCACTTAACATGGAATATCGTTATATAAGATTTTTTTTATATGCAATAAAAGTTTTTTTGGAATTTATAACGTATTGTTTTGATTTCATGTTTATATGCATTAGACCATTTTTGTACAATAGATATATTAGTTCTTTCATGTGCAATATATACATTAGACAATTCATGATTATGCATTGAAAAATAGGAGATTTGTAAACTGGTTCTATATATTTGTTTTTATTCAGTAAAAGTATATTTATTAAATGCATGAGTCCATATTGAAACAGATTACTAAAGGATATTTCCGCTATTGCTTCTATTAGCGAGTAATAAACTTCATCAATTAATAAAAAAAAGAATGAAATTATTTGTAAAAAATACATGGTAAAAAAGTATTTATAAACAATAAAAATAAATCATTCGCCAAGTTTTTCGAGTTCGCTATGCAAAATATTAAGCCATTCTTGAGAAACTGCAATATCGTAATGTTTTTTCTGTCTTTCGTAGCATTCTTCACGGAAATTCTTAATTTCAGATGTAGCCTTGCGAATATCCTCTAATTCTTTTTCAAGTCTTGCGGTTAATGAGATTTCTTCTTCATATAAGGCAGAAAGTGCTCTATCTTCGCTATTATTAGCCAAATTTATTTCCGCATATAGCGCCATTGCTAAACCATCGGCATCACCTGTGCCATATGTTGGATCTCTTCTCATTTCGTTTAAAATTGAGTTTGCTTCTTCGTAGGCTGTTCGTAGTTCGTCGTAATCAGCGCGAGTGTCCATAAGTTGGCCGCGTGGAATAGGTTCTTCCTTCCAATCTTTAGGAAGTGGTTTAATTTCACCTGTAATATTCAAATTTCGACGTAATTCATCTAATCTTGATTGATTGTCGGACTCTTCCTTCTGTAAGACTTCAAGCATAGAATTATTCTGATCAACCTCAACTTTTAATTGAGATAACGTTTCTTTTAATTGATCTAAAGTTTCTGATGGAGTATGGAGCTTTATTTCAGATATTTCTGACTTTAAAAATTCAATATTATTCTGTTTATTTTTCAAAACACGTTCATATTGTTCTTTTAACAGTTTTGAATCTCGCGATTGTTGTTTCAATAAAAGTAGCTGCTTTTTCAAGGAATTTATTTCTTTTAATTTTGCACTTGCGTCGTCCTGCTTCGCAGATTTCTTAGGAGAAGAATCTTTTGAAAGTAATTCGTTTTGCGCTTCAATTTCTGCTGCTGTAAACTCAAGATCCAAATACCTACTCTGTAATGCTCTGTTTTCGGCCTCTAATCGAAGCCTGATTTCTGATCGATATTGAGAGTCATCCATCATCAAAATTTCAGAAAATTTTTTTTTACATTGTGTTTTGTTATTTGTTTAGAATTTAACTTGTAGAATGGATTGCACTATGGATGGACATATAGAATCGATGATGAAAATAAACTTCCAAATATTTATCCGTTGGAAAAAAAATTATTCAAATAACAGACAATGTCTTCTTTCCGTGTTTTTCTTTCCAAGAAGATGAAATCTTCAAACAAAAATCCTATGTTTAAGATGTCCTGGAACAAGGCTAATGGATTTATTGCTGGAGGATACTCGGATGGTATGATATCATTATTGAACGTTACTCCTTCAAGAGATCAGCCAGGATCTCAGCAAGTTGAAACTATAGAATCTCTCGATATCCATTCAAAGCGTATTACAGCCCTTTCCTGGTCAGATAATGGTCGCCTGTTAGCATCTGGTGATTCTTCTGGCAAAATTGCATTCTTTGCAAAGAAAGAAAAGGGATGGAAGAATGTCGTCATAAATTCGTCCTTAAATGCATCAGTTAATTCTATCGTTTGGGCAAAAAATAGCAAAATGGCTGCCATTGCTTATAAAGATGGTCCATGCGCATGCGTAACTGCAGAAGGTAACTTAGATTGGACCACCATGATGAGACAAGTAATAGAATTTCTCGATTGGTCACCAAATTCAAAAATATTGCTTGGTGGTACTGCTTATGGTGAAGTTCTTATCATTGACTCAAGAGGTGTTGAAATTAACACTGTTCCACTTCCATGTCTCTCAAATTCAAAATCAGAACCAAAAATTGTAGCTCTCGAATGGCATAAACGCGCAGAATACGGTCTTCTCATTGCATTCAAAGATGGCAACATCCAATTAATGAGAAATGAATCAGATACCCAACCATTTGTTATTTCCATGGAACTTGAGATTTCTACTGCTACCTGGTTCAAGAGCGGACAAAACTTTGTTACAGCTGGTGTCAAACCAAACGGCAGGGCTGTTGCTATCTTCTTTAATTCTCATGGAGATAATATTCGCGAACTTGAACTCCAAGGCAAAGAAATCCACGCAATTTCGTTAGACCCAACAGATACATCTCTTGCGATCGCATCAGATAATCACTTCTGCTTAGCCCAAATCGTTCCTCATATTATTTGGGGATATACAAACAATGTTCTTTGCTATTGCTATCTCAAAGGTAATGATGATATATCTACAGCAATTTTCTTCAACCGCAAGTCAGAAGAAAAGAGAGTTCAGCAATTTAGAGACCTTGTTACACTTTCCGCTCATTCCAGCTTCTTCGTTTTTGCTACAAAGAATGGTGCAGATGAATCAACTCTCACAGTCACAAATACAATCGGAGTTGTCATAACTTCTTCTCATATTCCATTTATTCCAATCTTTTCATCATCCTGCGGCCAAACCGTTGCATTAGTTTCTCAAAACAAGATCTGTGTATGGAGATTCCAAGAAGACGAACAGCCACAAGTTTTAGATTTTGCAGATACAATTACAACAGCTCATTTAACTGAAAAACTTCTTTACATATCAACAAGCACACAAATTGTCGTTCTCGATGTACCATCAATGGCCGAAGTTACAAGATATACAACGAATTTCGCAAGTGAAACGATCGGAGTATCTAGTAATGGAGCCATTCTTTCGCTTAACGATTCATACGGTACCGTACAGTTCTTTTCCACAGAAGAAAAGAGAATTATCGGTCCAGTTTGCAAAGAAGTATGGGTATCAGCCTGGGCAAGCGATGCACCGGAACAATTTGCAGCTCTTGAGCGCCAGAAGTTAGTTGTATTCAACGATTTGGAGCCAGAAGAGCCTGTTTCTTGTTTATCTCATATTGCCGAGTTCTCAGAGCTGGAAATTCTCACAATTAACCTCATCTGGCTACTCAAAGACCCAATGAATCCATCCACACGCTTCTTCAGGTCCCATCAGACGAAGCAATTAAGGCAATTACACCAAATGCTCTCTGCAAGGCCCGAAACATCCGTAGAGGATATCTTTGCCTTCGCCAAGAAGGAGAACAAGCCAAAACTCTGGGATTCCTTCGCAGAAACCGTAATGCTCGAAATGAATTTCTCATTAACCGAAAGATGTTACTTGGAAACAACAAATTACAGAGGTCTTCAATTTGTTAAGCGCATCAGAACCGTCAAAGACCCCAATATCCAGCGCGCCCAAGTATTATCTTATCTCGGCAGATTCGATGAAGCGGAAAGCATCTATTTATCAATGGACAGACTCGACTTAGCCATAGAAATGAGGCGCTCCATCGGCGATTTCCGCCACGTCATCAAAATCATGGGAAACGGCGTTGGCGACGATGAAACAATTGCTGCAGCATACACAGCAGTTGGCGACGAACTGTGCGAACAAGCTCATTGGAGTGATGCAACAATGGAATATTCACAAGCCAGAAATGACGAGAAACTGATGAAAGCAAGATTCCTTGCACAAGATTACGACGGACTCGAGAGATTGATGATGTCTCTTCCAGCACAATCTCCTCTTCTCCACAAGATTGGCGAGATGTTTGTCGCAATCGGTGCTGTCGATGACGCAGTGACAGCATTCACTTCCTGTGGAGATATCGCAGCTGCAATCGATGCCTGCGCGAGAATGAACCATTGGAAACCAGCTTTGAAACTCGCAAGCAAAGGAAGAAACATGGAAATCAAAGCGAGAATGGTCAAATACGCAGAAGATCTGATCGCCAATGGCCAAAGAGCATCAGCAGTCGACTTCTACGTAAGAGCAGGATTGAATATCGAAGCAGCCAAATTATTATTGAAAGCAGGTGATGAAATTCTTGCAATTGGCGATGATTACATCTCAGCGAAGATGTGCTATATCTTTGCAGGAATACAGTTGGAACAGCACAGAAAAGGAGCTTTCGATGGAAGTGCAACAGCAGAAGAGAGATTGGACGGATTGATGAAGGAAGATGAAGTGACAACAAGCGGTTTACACAGGGAAGTTTGGCGTAAAGCAGAAGGTGTCCATTTCTTGTTGTTGGCAAACAGATTCTATCAGGAAAGGAAGTACAAAGACGCATTAGTTGCTGCATGCAGAGTTTTCGATGATTACTCTGATATTGTTGGAGAAGCAAGAGCATCTTCTTTACTTGCTTTGTGCGGTTTGAAGAAGAGATTCTTCGGACAGTGCAGCCGCGCGATGACGACATTGGAACATTCCGACGAATTGTCACAAGCACAGAGAGAGAAGTTCGAGGATTTGGCTATAGATATATTCACAAGGAACCAGCCTGTTGACCAGGAGAACCTTGGATCTGTACAATGCCCGAAGTGCTCTGCTGTTGTCTTCAATACAAGTTCGCAGTGCCCTGAATGCGGTGAAAGATTGAAAGTTTGCACTTACTCCGCAAGATTAATTGATGGACAGAATTACTGGGAATGCAAGTACTGCAAGCACTATGTAATGATAGATCTTGTTGATGAACTTCGCGTTTGCCCACTCTGCCATCATAAAGTAACCCAGTAACTTTTTTTTCTTTTTATTTATATAATTATTATTTGTCTGATGTGATAACTTAAAAAAAATTATAAAATTTATTTGTTACAACAAATTCAACATAGATATGTATATATAGAGTGAGAACCCTAGCATGTGAATTGGATTTTAGTTGATTATTTCAATTGATCCCTTTAATTAACAATTATCACTAAATTTCTCAAAACTTACTTTGTTTGTTATTACCAACTAATGTCTTTGCTTTAGTCAAATAGATAGTACGAAATTCTATTGTATTATGCCATATTGTTATTGAATTCATTGTTATTATAATAGAATGGGCTACCTATTTGAAACCTTATTTATATATAACCAGTGTTGGTTAAATCCAAATTCATTAACAAAGGCATATTCATTATTTTAAAAACATTATGCAGATATAATATGAATATTCCTTTGTTAATGAATTTTATAGGCTTTGTATTCGCCATTTTATATTCGACCCTTGTATTTTCCATGAAGGCACAACTTCCGATTTAATTCAAAGTAAAACTGAATCAAATTATGTCCTCATAGCATGGAAATGCATGGATTGTATCATGGAAGGTTGGCATTCCTCAAGAATATTTATTCCGAAATCTTTTGTTTCGATTCGGAATTTTTTTTATTTTCTATTCCACTATTCTTTCAATTTTTGTGTCAATTTCTGAGAAATAACGGAATCATAAATGGAAATTCTCAATGATAGATTATTTTAGCAAAAAATAATCTACACAAAATCGACAATAATGTTGGAAAGGTTAAAATATAATTTCTCTGAAATTTCTGTAAACGATTCAAAATTCTTTTTTAGAATTATAAGAATGAGCGACACAAATTTAACGATTTCAGCAACAAGCGTTTTGGAAAATCCTTGGACATTCATTCCAGCTGATGAATCAATAAATAAGCTATCAGATCTTTCAGTTATCCATCAATTTTACTTTTATATTTTCATAATTTGGTCTGTGGGCTGGTTCGTTACTTTAATTTGGTACTGCTTTAGAATTGTAAACTCAAACATTCAAATTAGATCCCCTATTCTTACAATTATCTGTTCAGTTGGTTCTGAATTGACACTTCTTTATAATATCATCCTTACAATTTTTACAAATCAGCATTTCCCTTGCTTCATTCTCATGTGGTGCCAGCTACTTCTCTTCCAGTTAATGTATATTCCCCATTTCCTTAAATACATGCGCTATTATTTCAGTATGTACCAAATGGAGAGATGGAAGAGTGGCATAGTCGCCGATCCAAAATCATCAATTCTGATTCTAGAATGGTACTGGATCGCTATTCTTGGCATAGTTCTCTCTGCTCTGTCAGCAGTCGGAATTGTTTATCAATACCGCAACTTAAACGCATACATGTCATCTTTCGGATGCCACCTTGAGATGAAAACACTAATTCCTATAGTAGTTGTGTACGCGCTCTTCTTTATTGTTGGATGTTTCTTATGTTATATTTGCGCTATTGTCAATGATCCTTACAAAATCAGAGTTGAGTTTATTACAACATTTGTAAGCTATATTATTATTTTACTCCCAGTAATCATCATTTCCGGAAAGAATGTCGAAGATGTTCAAATTTATGTCGGTCTTTTGCTCTTATTTGTCTCGATTACTCAGATTATGAACCTCATTAGGCCGATCCATCTATCGTACGTGCGTCCACCGCAGAAGAATTCAAGAAATAAGATTCTTGACACAATTGATGACATTATTCTTGATCCAGAGACATATCCGCTTGTCGAACAGATTGGTATTGAGCACGAATCCTCAGAATGCGTCCCATTCATTAGAGAAATTTTGAGATATCGTCTTATTACAAATCAAGCGGATCTTGAACGTCAGGCCAGATACATCTTTGATGAGTACATACGCCCAGACTCTCCTCATCAAAATAACCTTCCTCATACCATGGTTAAAGATATTGAAGCGAGAATCCAAGATCCAACAAGTGATTTGTTCAATGGACCTTACAGAGAAATTATGAAGCTCCTTAAAACTAACTTCCTCCCTGAGATTAAGCTTCTTCCTGAATATTCCAGAATTTTACACGAGCGTGAGATGAAAGCTGAGCAGGAAAGAAAGGCCCAGAGCCTCCTTCTTGGACAGGAAAATCAATAATTCTTATTATTAGTTCATATCAGCTGTCTATATTTTTATTTGTTCCTATTGTTATTGTAAACCATTGTTTTATTTGTTTATGCCATTGATTTTATACTATCTTTTCATTTCGATCAGCTTTTTTCCATGAGATATGTAAATTTCTTCAATTTTTTTAACGAAGTACTCTTATTGATTGAGAATTGAAAGGCTTTCTTAATCTAAGTATATTCAATGTAATGATGTTCAAAACTCTTTTGAGATTTGAAAAATTTATTTGGAATTAACACTAAAGAAATAAAAAACTTATAAAAATCTTGTATATTTATAACAAACCTGAAGTATATCCATGATTTACAATATATTTAACATAAACGAAATGTCAACGAAATAATAAATTAAAAAATTAGCGTGCTCTTGAGTCGGCGATGTCTGAAAGCTGCATGTCTTCAAATTTAGGAATTGTTTCTGACTTTATTGAGCTAGTGGGTGGAAGGGGATGAACTGGTGGAACTATGCAGTTTTCTGGGATTGCCAATGGCTGTTTTGATGCTGGTAAGTTACCTGAAGCAGCAGGTTTTGAATCATCTTCTGGAGCTTTAACTTCTTCGTATTCCTTACACATTTTGCGTTATTTGTCACTTTTTAAAATAAAGGTTACTAGGCAATCATTATTTTTCCAAGAATTCGTGCAGGATCATCAATACGGACCATGGTTAAAGCATTTTTGTCTCATATAATTAAAGGATTTTTCTTAAATTCATCAAATTATTGAGTAAAATATCTTTCTCATATAAGCTGGTCATTAAATTGGATTTAAAGCACTAAGATGTCATTGAGCTTGTTGACGAATATGTAACAGAAAAATATTATCAAAACAATTTTTAAACATAACAATAAATAATAACATAAAAAGCTTAATATCCTTGAAGCTTGGTTTGCTGGATAACAAGAGGTACATCTCTTGTTGGAATTGTATCTTCTGGAGGTCCAGATTTTGGTGCATTAGTGTTCTGGTTAACAATGACAATTGTATTTGGTTTGTTAACAGCATCTTCTCTGACACCTAAGTTCTCCATATATTTCTGTAACAAATTCTTATAATATTTGTTTTCTTCTGTGAGTTGAGCTTTCTCTCTCTGGAGTGATAATGTATCAAGTAGACACTTGTTATATCTTCTGTAGAATTTGTCGAATACATCACTCTCCTCAACGTATTTGCTATCACCTTTCAATTGGAGCTTAAAGTTTCTCATTTGGCGTTGAATTTCTGGATCATCATCTGCTATTGAATTAGGGAATGGAATGATCTGTTCTCTTTCTGTTTCAAGTTTTCTGGTCATTTCAGAATATTTGAGAATGTTATCGGCAAGTTGTAATTTTTTCTGCAAAGCGTTGATTGTATCTTCAAAGGCAACGGATATTTCAGCTAATTTAGCAGCTTCAGTTGCTCTAAACCTTGCCATTACATCTTTGAGTTTTCTGAAGTGTAATGATAATGTTTCTTTTTCTTGACGTAATCTATCATTCTCTTCTTTTGACTCTGTCATGTTATTTTTAATTTTACGGCGCCAATGAGAGATATCAGCCGCATGCTTTGCAATGGCTTTCTCATTTTCACGCATTTCACGCTGCATCTTCTTGTGTTCTTCAAATAATTGATGGAATTGTGTCATTTTGTTCTCACTCTTCTCTTTATATTCCTTATTTGCAAGTTTCATTTGTTCATTAACTTGAGTAATTTGTTCCATAAGATGCATATTTAAAGCTGAAATAGATTCTTGACTGCGCATTGTCAAAGCATCCTTTTCGAACCTAAACTTGTTATCCAAAACGTCTCGGCGTTCTTTATATTCAAATCCAATAGCACTATTAATATTTCTCATTTCTGACACGTGATCTTGGTAATTCTTGATAACGCGAGAACGGGAATCTTCAAAATCATCAACAATCGTTTTTAGTCTTGATTCCCAGCGTTCACGTTCTGTTTTCAGTCTCTTTTGAGATAGTTCGTGTAAGTCATTGAGAGTTCTTCTGTTTGCTAAAAGGTTGAACTGATATTGTTCTTCGTTTTCTTCAATCCAATCCTGAAGCCTTTTGACAACAGAATCACATCTATCAAGTTGTAATTGGTAATGGGCTTGAAGTTTATATATTTTTTCTTTCGTATCTGTTAAATATTCGTTATCAAGGATCTGAATCCATTTGTCTTCAACTGCTTGGTTAACAAGATGTTCGTGCTGCTTGAACTCGGTGTATTTACTTTGGATTTTTTGCTTCAATTTTTCCTTGCGAACATCAAACATGCTTTTCATGATATTATTTAAACGTCTTTTTGACGTTCAAGGAATTCGTGTCGAGCCTGTCCTTCGTTCAGATAGTATCAGTACCATTCGATTAACATTCCGAGTTGAAATTTATCGGCAAAGCTATTGCAAAGCTAATGCATCAAAATCCAAAGACTTTTCAAATTCCCTGTAAATACATCAAATGATAGACAATAAAACTCCATTTATTTTGCATGTATTTCATGTGCGAATCGTGATGAATATCAGTATTATGAACAATCTGTCCACTTATTAGTAAATCAATTTAAAATTCGAGTCCTATCAATATTTATACCAGATTGATTTGCAAAGATGGATAACCAGCTGGAAATAGATCAAAATACTCCATGAAAAATTTACTGTGTCTCAAATAAGACGTAAATAAAATATATTTTTACTATTTCTTCTTTTTATAAAGTTTTATGCAACCAATAGGTAAAATACTTGAAAGATAGATCGCTTTCGAGCTAAAATGCTTGACTTTTTATTTCCAAAAAAAATTGAAATTTTTATTTATAAGCATTTTCAATTCTCAAAGCCAATAATATAGTTTTTCTTAATGAAATAAGGGAAATAAAATTTTTTTTGGAAAAATAAAAAGTCATGAAAATAGACATTATTTTGATATTTACATACTTCTGAAAAAATGTTGTCTCTTATCAAATAGAATTAGAGATTTTCTGTTCAAAACTGATAAGTGAATCGTCAAGCAATATCTCTCCCCATTCAAGCTATCTCAAAATGGTCAAAAACAACTACCTATTTTCAATTCATGTAATCAATTGAGAGATTATCAATTTCTTTTACATCCCACTTATTACCTATACAAAAGGATTTAACCTGTTAGATTCAAGCTCAATTATCTAAAATTGATTTCCGTAAAATTTTCTCATTCTATGCATTGATGGATAATTGAGATCTCTAGGGTCTGGTAATAATTTGAGCTGTTCTCCAATTTTGCTTGGATCTTTGTCACACGTTTCGTAGATTGCTTTCTGAATATTCCTTCTTCCATGAGAAACTTTCTTTTGAACGTTTTGATTTTTCGAAAAGAAGAACTCTGATTGCATAAAAATTGATCCTTTGATCTTCTTCTCTTCGGTCAACGAATCGAGAATCATTTTCTTCATCTGACTTGAATCAAATGTATTTAACTGTGAGAATATCTCTTCGTCAGATTGTTTCAACCTGAAATTATCTGGATCAACGCTTGATCCATTTGATTTTACCCCTTGTTCGAATTTTGGTGTTCTAGGTGTAATAAGTTGTTCGCTTGATGGGTCCTTGAACATTTCCATCTGTCTCTTTTTCTGCTGGGCATCTTCTTCTTGTTTTTGTAATAGACTTTCGAAAGCAATTTTTGATTGTGTATGTATTTGCTTTGCAAGGTTCACGCGAGAAACTTCGTTATGCAATTCCATTTCAACGTTCTCACGGTGAGAGGCTGTATTAATTACGTTGAGTTCTTGTTTAGAAAATCCAATTGCTGTATTGGAAAACATATGATTCGAATCGAATGTCCTTTGAGTCATTTCTACTGGAATTTGTCGATTATTGAATAATTCTTTTTTTCTACGTCTTGGAAGAGAAGTTGTTTCAAGAAAAAGCCAAGGAACCTGTTTGAAATCAATGTTATTCTTTAATCCAAGGGTTGGTGAAGAGTTTTGAACAGAAATACTACGCCTATGAGTCATAAAATTTTTGTTGATTTTGAATCGATTTTATTTTTGATAAGATAATGTTGAAAATACATAATACGTCATAATAACAAATTTTGACGAATACAAAATTGAGTCAACTTTTGAATGATTTGAGCACAAAACACGTTATAATTCAAAAATATTAAATAAAAGTGACAATAATTTTAGAGGAGATTCAGCTTTTTGTCACCGATTTTTATCCAACACTTGGATTGGATATGAGGAGTTAGAGATAGACTATGAAATTTTAATTATCCAAAGAAATCATCATCTATTTTTACTTCTTGGCTTAGGCACGACTATATTTGAACATGATCTTGATTGACGCTCAAATGGTTTTTTAGTTTGTAAGATATTTATGCCATTTATGGCAATTTCTGGAAAAATTACTGGATTTGTTCTATATTTATTTGTGTTTTTTGAAACCTAATCCGTTTGATAATGCAGTTACTACATGATGAGATTATGGTAGGAATAATACAATGAAGGTATAAATGTTGAGTGATTTTTTGATTGAGCAATTTTTATTGTGGGTCAGACACCCGCCATCCCCAACCTTTCGAAATTTTTCAGTTGATGTCTTGCAATTTTCTCAAAAATTTATTGTATAATATTGAGATGGAGCAAGACACCAACGAGTCAACAGTTCTATCAGCTAGCAGGATTAATTTTCTGTATCAAGAATCCACTATAAAGCCGAAACCAAAAATATCTTTCGAATTTTCTGACTTAAATTGTCTTGCACCTACACAGTGGCTCAATGATGCAGTAATCAACTCTTACATGAATCTTATGAAATCCAAAACATCAGAAAATATTGGCTCAACAAATACATTCTTTTATGCAAAGCTAGAGAGAGATGGACCCGAATCAGCTGTTATGTGGGAAGGCATTAAAGGTGAAAAATTAAATATCTACGAAAAATTTTTAATTCCAGTATGTTCAGGAGCTCATTGGATCTTAATTTGCTGTGATTTTGTTCAAAATGAACTTCAAGTATTAGATCCGCTTGGAGGTATGTACCATTCCAAAGCAAACACAATTAACGGCTTTCTTTCATACCAAGGAATTCCTACTCTACCAGTTAAACATCCACGAGTACCTTCTCAACACAATGGATACGATTGCGGCGTTTTTCTTTTGTCAAACGCACGTTGCCATTTCTTTAATAACGGTATATATAATTTCTCTCAAGGTGATATTCCTAATATGCGTAGAAAAATCAAACAAGAGTTGTTGGATTGTGTTTCAAACAAAGACTAATAAATATATTATATTATTGTTTTATTTGTTATATAAAGGCCTTATTTCCTTAATTGTACTCTTTTGTTTTTTCTAATTTAAATGAGTTTTGTAGGTTTCTATTATTTCTGATAGTTTTTTTTCTGGAAATATGCTATTGATTGAAAAAATATGAAAAATAAGTAAAAAGGAAGTGAAATTTTCTAGAACACAGGTTTTTATTAGAATTAAATTAATGTGATTATACAAAAACAAAAAATGAAAATAAAAATTATACATACATATCTTTACATGGTAACAAAACAATATGACTAATTTTCTTTTTCAATTCTTATATCATCAACCCACTTCGGATGGGCAAAGAGGCATCTTGGACCATCTGGGCAAAATCCTGCAAGATAATTGAGACATATCGCATCACGAGGCGTGTGCTTTCTATTGCATTTATCTCCATGCTTACAAAATCCACTATTATAATATTTACATTCTGTTCCTATTCTATCTGTTAATTCATGCCGGAAAATGCATTCAAACTTGTTCGAACACTCATGGAACTTTTCCCAGAATTGACATTTTTTCATCTTATCGATGTTATACTCATGAAGCGATTGACAACGGTCTCCATGTACACAATGTGTGTTTATCCATTTATCACAAACAACCTGATGAAAGTTATTTTTTTCATTCCTTGAAAGATTTGAGATATAATTTTTGAGATCTCTTTCTTCATTTTCATCTACTTCTCTCAGCACGGGTTCAAATTTGAATTCAAGGTTTTGCTGTTGGTTTTGCAGGTTGTGGAAGTACCACATCAATTTTTATGATTGAAAATTTTTGAAAAATTTGTCAAAATTTTTATAATTTTGGAGAACAATTTCAATTTATAGAACATAATTTCTGAGGAACCACCTTAATGAATATAATATATAAGCTATACAGGATATTTACAGCATGGAATCTTATGACAATTTGAAAATAGTGAATGAAATATTAAATTATCTAACGCCATCCTTAATGGTTGCGCTGAATTCAATTTAAATAGTTATAATGAATCAGTCTGCTTCTCTTATGCGGTGGAATATATTGAGAAAATAACCCCAAATTTAAATCCAATGACAAATTTAACATGTACACGTGTACAACATATTCCATTCATCTATTTGGCTTACATATATAGTCATACACAAAAAGGGGGGAACTCATTTTTTAGACCAAAAAAGTGGCACCTGAGTATATTGTTTCTGCTTTATCTGATCATTGAAACGGAATTGATCCACGTTATTAGTATGAAACAATGATATAGTAGGGACTAAAGAATATTAATATTACAAAAACCCAATTATTCGATGTTCAACTCATCATATCTTGCATTAAAGTTGATACCTTTATTTATTCGAAATATTACAACAATAGCAACCTTACGTATTACCAATGATAGCCAGAGTACTATTTTGGCATAAAAAAATTAAAACGATATTAAGACAACAGATTGACTAGTCATTCTGGTATAGTATCATGCATACTACCAGGTGATAAAATCTCAAATATCTTATCTTAACTTCCGTTTGATTATGAGATACAGATCTAATGTTGCTTGTTTTGTAGCCATAGTCACTAGCTGATAACATTATTATGATAGGGAGACTAAATGTGCGAGTTTAATATACATTTGATTCAGATTTATTATCGAAAATCAAATCACAATATATATCTTGAACTCATCTGTTAATAAAATCATGATATTATTGATTGTTTTCTGGATGTTTACAATATTTTCTAAACATGTGAGGATAATCCTTAATTTGAACCAGAAATAATTTTAAATTGCTAACAATGGATGGTTATCTATATAGAATAATATATTATTTTTGATAGTAAACTATGACTGATTTATAATTTAGGAATATATACTTCTTTTCTATATCTTTGAAAAATAGTTATATGATTTTGCTGTATAAGTGATATATTTTAATAGAAATATTATAGAATAACAAAAATAAAAAGGTTTTATCGATTTATAACACAATGAAAAAGGTTTATTTCTCTCTAAATTATAAATTTTCAAAAAAATTAACCTCATTTTTCCAAAAAAAAATCGAGAATTGAAAAAACGTTATCATTTTCTAGAAAATTGCATAGGCTTTTTCTAAAATGGAAAAAATTTGGAGAAACTCACCAAGGAGAACTTCATTCTAGGTGTCAAAAGCAATTGCTATCAGTCAAAAAAACCTCGAAAATTTTAAATATTGATATCGATTTTCATCAATCACTTAAAATCTTTTGTTTGCAGTCGATGTTATCACATATTATTAAATTCTAATATACTTGAACATACTACAAATCGTTTTTGAAACTTATCAACATTTCGCGCAATTTAACAATACTGCAACTCTCATACACAGTTCCCATTACCACAGTCTCATTTTAAGAAGAAATGATTAATAAAATCTAAGATCTAACGATTTAATTACCCAATTCGAATAATTTTTTTAATTATAAATACTTATTTGTGCATGCTTTATATTCAGATGTAGAAAGAAAAACGAATAAAGTGTTACTTCAGAAAAATACCTGAAAGCACCCTAATCAATAAACAATTTACTTTTTTAGCATCGAATTTTGCTCGTCTTGAGCCATATTTTTCGTTTAATTTTCATAATACGATAATACATATGGGTTATCAAGTAAAATATGGATATTTTAGAAGATGATAATATATCTCGAAATCAAACGAAAGTCATTCTATGAGTCCATACACACTATTACTATACTTCATATGTCAAGCATAATGGGAACAATTTTGGTCGATACCTTTGTTGTCGACGAAGTTCTCCACCTTTTCATACACAAAATTAAATTAACCAATTTTTGAATTCAAGTTACGATTATAATCAAAACCAAGAGTATTGCTAGGAAAACTAAAGGAAATCATCAGTTTTCTGGTGGTTCATCCTATCACTAATAACAACACAATACGAAGAGGTTGAAATTTATTTTTTTTTATATTTTTTTATCGTTTCAGAATTTTTTTTTTAGGTTTTTTTATATGACGACTGCGCAAGAGATCTTAGCTGATGTGAAACCATATTTATGCAGCCTAGAAGATTTCGATCTTGTCAAAAAGATTGGCGAGGGCGCTTTCGGACTTGTTTATCTCGGAATTCACAAAAGAACGGGCTTAAAGTGTGCTGTGAAGAAATTAATCACTGACGAGCTTGAAGGTAATGAACTCGTGTACTTTTGTCGCGAAGTTAAAATTCTTGCTTGCTGCCATTCCTATTTTTTAGTCCCATTATTAGGATTTACTTACACATCTCCTTATTTAATCATAACAGAATTTATTGAATGCGGAACACTATTCTCAGCTTTACATCATAAACCAGGTTCTCCAAATCTTACAAATACAGAAAAATGCGTCATTGCGATGTGTATTGCACATGGAATGATGAATCTTCACAAAATGAAAATCATACATAGAGACCTTAAATCTCTTAATATTCTCTTAGACAATAGACATCTTCCAAAAGTTATTGATTTCGGTATCGCGCGTTTTAAAGATGATTCAACGAATTTAGTAACACAACAAATAGGTACAACACAATGGATGGCTCCTGAGCAATTGATGACAGCTACATATACAAATAAAGTCGATGTATACGCATATGGAGTTCTTTTATGGGAAATTGTATCAGAAGATATACCATTTAGAGGTTTTACAGGCGTGCAGATTGCAATTCAAGTCGCAGAAAGAAATTCTCGACCAAAAATTACAGATAATTGTCCGAAAAAGCTGAGACAGCTTATAGAACTCTGCTGGCATAGAGACCCAGAGAAAAGACCATCATTCAAACAAATCTTTCATTCATTTGCTACTCATAAAGTCGAATTTCCAGAAACAGATCCAAATTACGTTGACGAGATAGTTCAATTCATTAACCAAGTTGAGAACAGCAAACAAGAAGATTTGTACGCTCCTCTTTCAACAAGAATGCCAATTCCTCCTGAACAATTAAATCAAATCAGAATGCAAAGCGAAAACTCCGAACAACAACAGCAACAAATACAGCCACAAACAGCAGCATTACATACACCACCTCCTCCTTACCAAGGACCTTCAATGCAAGTAAATAATCAAGAAATGCTCAGAAATCCATTGGCTCCACTAATGGTGCCCGCTCCTGTGATTAATAATAGCAGTATTGTACTTCCTACGAATAACAATCCAACTTTAATAGAAGATAACGACTCAGATTCGGATTCTGACGAAGAAGAGGACGATCTTGAGTACAGTAGGTCTATATTTGATGGATTAGATAAAATCAATAAGAATAATGTCCTACAGTTCTATGATTCCATAAAACAAAATTTTGAATTTTCTCCATCCGCCAAAAAACGCAAAATCTGCGTCGAAGCAATTTGCAAACTAGCTGAACGTGATCCAGACCTGATGAATCCTCTAACAGATATACATATTTTCGAAATTTTACCTTATGATAATTCGAAATTGTTTGTTTACTTATCCAGAATCGTTTCGGCAATGATGTCCGTGAAGCCAAGTGCGATAACACCAGAACTATCCCAGAAAATTGCACAAATGGCCGACAAAAACACCGCAGAAGTTTTACATTTGTTTTCCAAGTTCGCTTTGATCGCCAACAAGCACAAACAGGCCTTCCAAATTATCAGTCCGTTCCTTGCTGTCTCTTCGAGCTATTTAAACCGCGGATTTACCCAAGATTTCGTCAGAATCCTCGTTTACCTTCTAAACATCAACAGCGCCTTCGCCGCCGAATACAGAACATACACATCCGATCTGTTTAAGCATCTCCTGAAGTTTGGCTCTTCAGAAGATATCAAATTTGTATTTGACTGCTTAACTCAGCTCGGAAACGTCCTTCCACCCGTACAACCCGATATCCTCGAAGCGCACATGAAATCAGAGCATTTACACTCACTTCTCCTCTACATTATCAAAAATTCAATTAAACCGTCGGGAGAAATGATTTCGACACTTTTACAATTGTCATTGACAGACAATTATGCTCTATGTGCTATATGTTCTATAGCTGAGAATCCTGCCGGTGCCGTTTTGATTCTTATGAACAAACAATGGCTTGATCCAAGTTACGACACAATTTGTGCCCTGAAAATTTTCTTGTCAATTTTAGTTGTTCCAGCGATGAGGCCAGCCATTTCTGAGTTGGAAGGAATACCAGAGTTATTGACGAGAGTAAGCAAATCTAATGTTCCTGAACTACTTATTTTGATTTCTTCTGTTTTCGGAAAAATGAGTATTACATCGAATTTTGTTGAAAAACTTTCTTCTTCAACATTTACTTCGACGTATTTGCAGGCAACTGTTGTAACTTCTAGAGCGGATTTGGTACACGCGGGATTAGTTGTTGGAGCGGAAATTGCTAAAGGAGCTTTCTGTCCTGAACTTGTAACTCTCTGCCAAGTTGTGAATCATTTTGTTGTGAATCAATGCGACGCAACAGAAAAAGCTGTTTTGACTGCGGCTGTTTTGATGAACTACAGCGAGTGTAGACAGGCTTTCGTCAACTACGGACTGAAGAATGGAATTGTTAATGCTGCGGTTAGTCCTCAATATGAATCTATTAAGAATGATATTATTGCTCAATTATCTGCACTTTAATATTATTTTATTTTTTTTTCTTGTTTTGTTTTGTTTATATTTTTTTATTATTTATTAGTACTAAAAAAGCACTTTTATTTAGTTGTTTTGTTACAAATGAAGATATATTAACACTACATCATTGTTTTCTTGTTTGGATGCACTAACAATCCATTGCATTGAATCAATTTTGAGTATTTACAAGATTAAAGCAAGATTCCTAAGAATCTTAAAGTGTTCACATCAATATACAATTTCCTAACGCAAACTTTGTGGTACTTCAAAGAAGAACACTATTATACAATTTTCTTAATATGAAAGCTTGATATCTTTATACAACTGCTCAAAGTTCTCTAGATAATTAATTTTTTTTTGAAAAAATTTTAACAATTCGTTCATGATAAGTTTGTTAACATTGTTGTATTGAATGGAGTTGTATTTCTGTTATATGTCTATGATAATGATGTTTTGATATCAAATATGTATCTCGTGTTATAATGGATAACATTTGACATAAATCATTACACCGGAAATTGTCCATCAGAGTAGGGGTAATTTTAGCTAAAAGTGACACGCCTGTAAAAAGTGACACACCCGTGAAGGGTGTGATTACCGATCGGTAATTTCGACAGTTTAGAATTTAAAATTTTTTATGGAACTGTTGCGAGTTTCATAAAGAATTTAAGGAATATAAGCAAAGATTTGAATCAAAATTTTAGACCTAAGCCGCTCGATTCGCTCGCGGCTTCCGCGAATTACAGATCAGCAAAGATTTGAATCAAAATCTTCGAACTAAGCCGTTCGCTTCGCTCGCGGCTTTCTTTATTATTTTAAATTTGCATATTTCCATCAAAAGTTCATAAGGTAAAAAATTTCGTTTATTTTTACTAAGAAAAAAAAGGTTTTTGATAATAAATTTATTTTATTTCGAAAAAGTAGCAATAATCGTAAAAGGGTATTGATAGGCTTGCTAAAGTAACTAATTTTAGCTGTCAAATACTTTTGTATTTTGAAGTAAATTAGTATAAATTTGTTTTTACTTTTATTTCGAAAAAGTAACAATAATCGTAAAAGGGTATTGATAGGCTTGCTAAAGTAACTAATTTTAGCTGTCAAATACTTTTGTATTTTGAAGTAAATTAGTATAAATTTGATATTATTTTAATTCCCTTTGAAAACCTCAATTTTCCATACAGAGGGAACGGGAATAGCATCCAATATTCCCTGAGAATGGTTGCGCATTCTCAGTTCCCTCTATATTTCGAACGAAGCTCTCATCGGTCTTTTTTTTTTAATACTAAACGTTTTTTTCCCCTGTCACTTTTAGCTAAAATTTGGGTTTGCCTTGTCCATCATAAGCAACTTCAAAATTGAGAAGAAAAGCAAATCGATCATGATTGTTATAATTTAAATGAAGAAGTAATTTAAAACGATTTTATTTATGATCAAATTTTATATATTTTTTTGGATCAAATCCATTTTAATAGAATTTATATACTATTCATCTATTAGTAAACACTACCGTATATTATTTTTTAAGCTATCTTATTTTTTGAACTTTTATTCAAATCTTTGGTCGCAAGAAGAATTGCATGATAAATAAAAACATTTAATCAAAGTCAATTTTATTTTTCATATTCAAATGGACTGAGTGTTAACATTTAACATTTTTTGCTAATTGTCGTCAAAAATTAGGCGTAAAGCAAAAATTGATATTTCATATGGTTTTATGATAGATAAGCATTATATTCCCACTCATTATATTCGTAAATTTTGAGGTTTATCATTCGCTTTTAAGATCATTGAATTTGATTTTTATATAAAATAGTTATATATTAGAAAATAATATGAGTTTATGTGATATTATTTTTCAGAAGATTTCATTCTATATGCCTATGAAAAGTACTCTCAAAACTAACTTTTTCCTAATTATAATTAAATCTAGAATATTGTATTATGCTTAGTATTATTTCATTTTTCTCATTCAATTTAGAATTTACAAATGTCAAAAAATTGAGAGCTGTCACTTTTGATGAATTTCTGTTTATTACACTGCCCACTTCTCAAATTTAATTTTGAGACCTTAATATAACGGCGCTCTGACAATTTTGACGTAATACCATTTTTTTTTCGGATATATATAGTCATGTCAGAGAAGAAGTTAAGAAGTAACCACACTCCAAAAGCCAAATGGTCATATAAGGAAGATCAGAGACTTATAGAGGCCGTTAACAAGTATGGATTTATTAAATGGAACGAGATAGCGAAATATGTTGGTGAATGTCGCAATGGAAAACAATGCAGAGAACGCTGGCTATTTAATTTATCGCCAGATATCAACAATGCCCCGTGGGATAGGGAAGAAGATGAAAAATTAATAAAATTACATGGGAAATATGGAAATAAATGGGCAACCATCTCAAGATACTTAGAGGGTAGATCAGCAATCAAAGTAAAAAATCGGATGAAAACCCTCTCCAAAAAGATGTGCTTAGAATGCAATATCAAACCTCATGAAGAAAAACCAAAGCCGATCATCATAGATTATCCAAAAGAAACTCATAAGATATATGATGCAGCGTTTGATTTTTCTGCATTTGACAATATAGATGAAACATTTCCAGAAAATTTTAAATTTGAATAATTAAGGTATTGTTATAAGTCACTTAGTTATATTAAATGCGTTTATTCTAAAAAATTATTTTTTGTCACTTTTAAAATTGGACTGCTTCATTTCGTTTCAGAATTTTACTGATATTGACCATTCTGAGAGCAGCGATAATGTTGGCCAATACTCAGTCTCTTAAAAAGTTAGGCTTTTCAGAATTTATCACAAAAGTATTTACAAATTGAATGCTTCGGAGTATTCAAAAAGTGCCATTCGGATAACTCAAATCTGATTTTTGCCTGTTCTGCCAAATGGATTCCACGTTAATAAGACGACAAATAAGCTATATATCCTATTATTTCTTATAAACTCCAATCAAAATCAGAAAAAGTGCCTTTTATCGTGAAAGATATTGTAATTACAAATAATGCGCTATTTGAGTCAGTAATAATTCAAACCAATAAGAGAGAACACCCTCTCAATACATGTATTATGAATCCACTGTTTCAAATTTCATGTATATTGTTTAATTTCCTGTTTTATTGTCAATAGACTTTTTTTTACTTTCAGACTTAGAAATCGTTTTCGTAAGCTCCAAATAGAATATTTATTTTATTTCAGCCTTAATTTTTACAATAATCATTAATTCGATGCAATTTGTATTATTTCATAATTATTATTTTTCGAATTTTTATTAATTTTTTATTATCTTATGATTATTCCAATTTAAAATCATTCATCTTTTTACTCTGTTATTACATATTCAGTATTTATCCACAATAAATTCATTTTAGTATTGTATTTTAGTCAGATTTCGACGCAAATTTCATCTACATCTTAACATTATTAACTGTCATTCAATTAAATTACATTTTCTTGATAATATTTATTATTATTTTTTTATATTTTATTCGACAATGTACTATCTTTTTATAGAAATATAATTACCTATCGGACTATTACGACATTCTGAACTTTTTGGTATTAGGCTTTTTGTTTCCTTTCATCATTACTTCATTTTACATTTTCAATTCTATTCAAAAATTGAATTAATCGTGTATCGTTATCGTCTTTATCATGGATCTGTTTTATGGAGAGTAGTATATGAGTGCGGGTTTAGTGACTTTTTTTGTTACATCTATATATAGACGATGCATTAAAATATAAATCATAGTAGTATATGTGGAAGTGTTGTGTACGTAGTATATGTGGAAGGATTGTGTACCTTTTTTTGTAACATCTATATATAGACGATGCATTTATTTATAAATCATTAAAAAATTAACATTAATTTTAAAATAATTTATTTTTTTATCTTTTATAAAAGAAACTATATATAGATGATGTCAGATATTCCGCGATTAATTAAACATTGTTTAAATCCTGAATGGGTTAAACTTCAATTTAAAAATGAAGATTGTGAATTATTAAATGAATATGAAAGCCAAAATAAGCTAATGAGGTATAAATATAATGATAAAGAATATTTAATTTCATGGAATCAATGGAGTCATAATCAAAGACCTCATAAACGAGAAGAAGAAATTGAAAATAATGAAATGGAAATCATTGATGACATTAAAGAGGATGGAATTCCTAAATTTTGTAGAAAAACCTTTAGAACTAAGTTAGGAGCATATAAACGTAGAGTATTAAATCCTGAATATCTTAAACATCAATTTAAAAAGGAAGACTGTGAATTATTAAACGTTAATGATTATGAAAATGCAAAATCAAAACTGAGATATAAATATATTGGAAGTGATGAAAGATGCAAAGATAAAGATAAAGTTTATACAGTTTCATATAATAACTGGCACACGTTAGGGATTAGAAAACATTTAGGAGATTATGGTAAAAGTTCTGAATTCTTTAAATCTAGTATATACGAGAGAGTAAAAGAAATTAGATATAATTATCATTCATGAATGAAAAATAAACTTTAAAAATTCATGTCTTACATTTATGAATAATTTATTTTTATTTTGTATGAAACCGATTTTAAAAATAAATGAAACAGAGGAGGAAGAAATAAATGAAAGTGAAAATGTTCAACAAAAAATAAACGTTGTTAAACCAATAATTAATATCCCTATCAAGTTTCGTAAATGCTTTGTCAATACTTCATCGTATATGTTTTGTCATGATTTCATTGTAATGAGCGTAAACTCTATGTCAAACATGAACGTAAATGCTTTGTCAAAACTAAACGTAAACTCTATGTCAAACATGAACGTAAATGCTTTGTCAATACTTCATCGTAAATGTTTTGTCATGATTTCATTGTAAACACTTTGTCAATACTTCATCGTAAATGCTTTGTCAATACTTCATCGTATATGTTTTGTCATGACTTCTTCGTAATGAGTGTAAATGACCCAAAAATAATGTTTACGTTAATGGTTTTAGGTTATTCAATAAAGAATTATTTTTGAAGAACTGAAGGTGTCACCATGTCACCATGTGTCACCGGGTTAATTAACTTCTCTTAAAAATGATGACAACATGACATTTTGACAACAGTCCAGGAAATATATTTCATCGTTAATGTTTTGTCATGATTTCATCGTAAATGTTTTGTCAAAACTAAACGTAAACACTTTGTCAAACATGAACGTAAACTCTATGTCAAACATGAACGTAAATGTTTTGTCATGATGATTTCATCGTAAATGTTTTGTGAAGAATATAGCAACCGCCGGAATTCAGACGGTTGTTTTTTTATACGAAATTCACGCAGGATTAATGAGGAAGGCACTTATGAATTATTTTTGAAGAACTGAAGGTGTCACCATGTCACCATGTGTCACCAGGTCATTTAACTTCTCTGAAAAAATGTGACAACATGACATTTTGACAACAACATGGGTTATTCAATAATTAATTATTTTTGAAGAACTGAAGGTGTCACCATGTCACCATGTGTCACCAGGTCATTTAACTTCTCTGAAAAAATGTGACAACATGACATTTTGACAACATCACAGGATTAATGCAAAAATAAATTCCAATCATACTTTATAAAGCATCATTTACAGGTATTTCATCGTCAGTAAATGAATCCTCATTATCGTTTGGTTCAACCTGTTTATATAATCCTTTCATTTCTTCTTTCAAAACATAACACCATGTTTGTTTACCGTCTATTCTTACCTGTTTCCTATCACATTTATCCTTAATGCTCATTTGGAAATTCTTGTCTTTCATGTCTGATGGTTTGCAGAATAGAGCATTTTTACACGTCATACCTGCACACAATTCATCATAATGTGTATTTATCCATACATCTAAAGGATTTGTTGATAACTCGATTAAATCTTGTTTGGCTTCAGTCATCGGAATGATTCGTACATTAAATGATGAAAGGTCATATTGCATAAAATATGTTAAAAGGTTATCATAAAATTCCTTTGTGCATGAATTCATTAAATTCTTGAAGTAATCAAATTGACCCTTAAATTTACCATTGACCCTTAAAACCACATATCTTCTGTCTCCAACTTCAATTTTGACAGGGTAAACGTTGTTAGTTACGAAAATGAAGTTTGCAACATTCTGTGCTGTTCTTCTGGGTTGATTCTTTTCATTAATTCTAATCTCATTATCCGTTATAATTGATTTCAAAGCGTTGAAGTTTGCGAGTCTGTCTTCACCTACATTCTTGAGTTCATTAAGTACAAGAAACATTTTATTTTCAACTACTGAGTTGAAATTACCCGTTAGCTCACTTATTTCAGTAATGTTTTTACATGAATAACCAGCGAGAAGTTCAGAAATAATGTCTGTAAATCTGTTTTTACCTGTTCCCTGAAGTCCTTTCAAAATAATTGCTGTTTCATTCTTGATTCCAGGATGTTGAATCATTGATGCAATCCAGCCGAGAAGGTATTTATACACTTCATCGTTATTATCACAAATGGCTTCTTTAATGAAATCCATAAACATCTCAATTTTTGAGTAATCAGGCTTTTCAAGAATGTTGTATTTATAACCCTGAAACGTTGAGAAAACATCGGGGGAATCAGATTTAAAGCAAACACCCTTAACGGTTAATGAAGACAATTGATTTAGTAGTACATCCCATGCTGTTATGGTTTTACCTTCTTCTTTAAATAATTTAATCATTTTGAGTGACTCTTTCATGTTTGATTGAAGAACGAATGATATTTGATTCATTTTGTCGTGTATGTTGTAATCTTTCTGAATGAAGTATTTATTTCCACAATCTACAAAACGGATTACACGTGATAAATCCTCAATTACTTCAGAACTGTTTTTATACTGATGATTTTCAGCCTTGCGTCTAATATCTGTTATCAAAAACGAGTCATCAAGTTTGATATCAAATGTTATTTTTGGCTTACGTAATAAAGGTAAAACATATTCATCATAATATTCCTTTTGATAAAGTTTTAGAATCTTCACCAAAACAAATGGAGAAGTCATTAAATGTGCATATCTACTACGTGCTTTTTCAAAATTACTTTTTGCATTTTCTGTTAAACTGCAGAAGTTATAAACGTTATCGTATGCTTCATTAATCAAATGATTAGGTAACGAATTAATAGCTTGAAACAGTGTGAATAATGTTATTTCTTTTTCTAAATTCATGTTTCCACCATCATTATGTACTTCAAAATCACTAATGCCATCAACTATGCTCTGAGCTAGTTTATCGTCAATGTTTACATCTTTGTTTTCATTCATGATAGTCTTTATTTCTTCATTCTTCTGTTCAACTCTTACCTTAATATTCAAATCATTTAATATATCGTTTACGGTTCTAGTTAATGTTGAATCATAACTTCCACGAATGAATGAGTATGTTTTGATTGGTTCTGTTGCATTCTTGCGAACTCTTGAATCAGCCATAACCACTAATGAACGCTTTGAATCATCCATAGAAGTCATTATGTCAATATCGTAATCATTGCAGGAATAACATTTAATCATTCTGTTCGAAACTGCATAGAAGAAATTAGTGTTGCAATAAATGTGAAGACCTCCTGAAGCGGTTTTAACAATAACATCTTTAT